CATGCTGGGATGGGTGCCGGGGCTCTGCGGTGCTGGGGGGCTGTCCCCAGCCACCCCGCCTGCTCCCAGCCTCTGCTGCAGGGTCCTGGCAGGGGCTCACAGACCTGTTCTGGGTGGGGGGTCTGGAGAGGCAGCACAGGGTTATTAATCCCCCCCCCACCTCCTCAGACCTGCCAGATGTCTCTCCTCAAGGCCTCATTTTTATAAATTGGCCTTTTAAAGTCTGTCATCCCTGTGCAGATGAAAGGAAGATGCTGTGATGCCTCTGCATGCGTGTCGCCGAGCCTGAGCCTGGCTGCCATGCCTGGGTGGTGGGGCTTTTTGTTTGGGGTTTTATCTTTTTTGAAGTTCCTCTTTTTGTTTGTTTTCTTTGTTTTTGTTTTCCTTAATCTCTGAGTCTGTTGCATCTTGGCTTTCCATCTCTCGGTTTTGGGCAGGCAGGCCCTGCTCTATAGCACCACTCCCTCCTGGAGAGATGAATGGGGAGAAGCATTACCTCCCATGTAGGGGGGGACACACTGGCAAAACCCTGGGGTTTAATGCCCAGGGTGGAGCTGAGCTGCTCCCTTCTGGCAGGTGCAATTAAGCCCATTGCCGTGGGGCTTTCTCTTCCCCCTCCAAGCCCCTTTCTACTCTTTTCCCTTTGTACCCTTTCCCCCCTCCCTTGTGCTCATCATTCCCCCTTGGATCAGAAGGGAATCATCTCCCTTTTCTCCTGAAGCCCAAGCACTCCTGGCTTGATGCGAGGGCAGCTCCCAGGGGGATGATGAAGAGCTGGGGCTGTGAATCTTAAAGCCAATGGGCGGTAGCTGCCACTGTGAGCCGAGCCTTTAAATCCTCCGCTCGTTGATGGATGGATAAGTAGGAATTGCATTTGCTGGGCGGGTAACAAACAGCTTTGCATTTTCTGTTGTCTCTTGGGGAAATTCAGACACCACTCCTAAACTGCAGGGATGAGGTTTTTTTCCCAGCTGGCACAGATCCCTGCGAGGACTGCTCAGCTCTTGGGGAAAGCCCTGCGATGCCAGGGAGATCCTCACTGGGGATTTCTGCAGGGGCTGGAGCTCTGCAGGGGACCAGTAATGGCACTGCCAGATGTGAGAGGCCAGCTCAGGTCCCTGATGGCCGCATGTGTGCCTGTCTTCATGGCCTTCCCGGCACAGCTGAGGTGCAAGCAGCATCCCTGTCTCCAAGGTGGGAAGATGCCACGTGAGGGGAAAAGTTGGCTGGTCCTTGTGAGACAGTGGAGAAGCCAAGCTCCTTGGGTTCTGGCTCTCGAGCAACTCTGGGCTTCTCTTTCCATCAAGCACTTTTGTTGCCTGTGTGAGGTTGTTCCCTGTTTGAGGGGGTTTGAGAGCAGCTTCCAGGGATGGAGGTGTTCTGGAGAGCTCCAATGTTTCATGCTGGTGGGTCATACTGTGTCTCATCTCCATAGGGATGTGCTGGGCAAATGGCAGCCAGCTCCTGGCTGCTGCTGCTGCTCTGGGTCACAGTCTTTGAGGCTCAGTCCCACCTAGGGTCTGGTCACCAATATGGTTGGGGTCTGGAGGACAAGGGGCGGGTTAGTGTGGTCCCTGCTGCCCGCCCCAATCCTGTGGCTTGTGCAGTTCATCCAAGCGGTATTTAATTATTGGCCATGTAAGCTGCTGGCGGGTTACTGCACGTGATTTATTAGCAGGAGTAATCCCTTGCCAGCAAAAGAGCTGCTCTCTGAATGGAGAACAGCAAAATCCATGGGAGCCGTCCCATCCTTCCAGAAATCTGGGTCCCCAAGCATGGTGCCCAGCTGTTGAGTGCTGAGGTCTCCCCAAGGAGGGGGTTCAAGCCTCCCAAAGCTAGGTAGAGATTTGGGAAGGGCAGCGTAAGCACAAAGCCAGAGATGCACGTGTTTCCCTGTGAGTTCCGTGGTCGCTGAGAGAGGGACCAGCGTGGAGGTCAGGCAAAGTGGTGCTTCTCCTGTTGGTGTGTGGGTCTGGTCTTCAGCTCTCTTCAACTTCTGGTGGGCTCCTGGGTCCGGCTTCTTTTAATTTTGGCCCTGTACCCTATGTACTCGAGAGCAGTGCCTGTCCTAGCTGAGATGTCACCTGGCTGAGAAGGATCTGGGCTATAAAGCCTGGGAATGGGCGTCTGTGGCAGAGTCAACCAAAGCAACAAGATGTGTCTCATCTAATGAGTCTCTTAAAAAAATAACAGAATTGCAGTGGCAAAGGATCAGGGCAGAAATACAGATGGAGAAGGAGAAGGCCCAGCTGCTGGGTGCGGAGCGGAGGGAGAGCTGCGGTCATGGCTGGGCAGCACACACAGGCAAGGCAGATCCTGAAGGCGAATCCCCCTGGGCTCTTCCAGTCGGGGACTCCTTAGCGGTTTTATGAGAAATCAATAACGCTTTTGCATGGCTGTAATCATAAAATAAGTACAATTTATGGCAGCTGCCGAGGCCAAGATTTTTTCCTGTGTACAAGGTAGAGGGGGAATGGAGCACAAACACTTTCCCACGGCATTTCTCTTTGCACCAGGGCTGCAAACCTGCTCCTGCATCGTGAGGGCAGGGTGGAGGAAGACCACCGTTTGAGGGGGCATGGCCGCACAGGGTGCGTTGCCCATGTCCTTGCCTGTGCCCATGCTCACCCTGTCCCCATTCCCCACAGCCCGCCGGCAGGTGGAATGGAGCAGCCATGAACGGCGATGCCCTGTGCCAGGAGCCCTCCTCCCCGCTCCCCGACTGGAGGGAGTTCTGCGAGCTGCACGCCCAGGCGGCCGCTGTCGACTTCGCCCAGAAGTTCTGCCAGTTTCTGAAGGAGAACCCCCACTACGACACCCCTGGGGCAGAGACCTCCTTCTCCCACCATTTCGCTGCCAACTTCTTGGACATCTTCAGCCTGGAGGTCAGCCGGGTCTTCGTGTCTGACTCACCCACCAAGTACAATATCGTGCCCTTCGTGGGGCTGCAGAACTGCCACGTCCCCTACGGCCGTGAAGTCACCCCAAGGAAGGAGGAGACGTCCACCGAATCTCTGGACAGCATGGATGCCCCGTTGGGTGCTGGACGGTATCTGAGCCCAGCGCAGCAGGCGCAGGCACGCAAGGTGTCCTCCTACGGCCAGTCCCGCAGCTCAGAGGACGTCTCCATCCATGCCACCACCAAGCCCAAGTTCAAGAAAGGCTTCTCCTTGAGGAACATGAGCTTGTGCGTGGTGGACGGCATGAAGGAGATGTGGCATCGCAAGTCCTCTCCGGAGCCAGGTGCCGAGGCTGCCCCGGGTGGCCGGAGAGCCGAGAGGGAGCCGTGGCCGGCTGGGGGCAAGGAGCCCGGCGACCCACGGGAGAAATGGACCCACAAGCTGCGCCTGTCCAAGGTGCCCTCCTCCAAGGTGGAGCTGGTGGACATCCAGAGGGAGGGGACGCTGCGCTACATGGTGGCCGACGACACGAACTGTGTGGGGAGCTCGCAGTGGCAGAAGTGCCGCCTCCTGCTCCGGAAAGCGGTGAAGGTAGAAGGAGAGAGGTTCCTCCTCGAGTTTTATGTCCCTCCAAAGGTAAGTCCTGGCTTTTTTCCACAGTTGTTTTTCCGAGCAATTCAAGCAATTGGGCTTTGCTTGAGGTTTTTCTTATTTCCACTGCTGAGCTGGGATGAAATCCAGCTCTGGTCTGGTAGTGGTGTTTGGTGCTGGGAGGATGAAATGCGAATGGACAGGAGGATGTGGCTGAAACCCATCCAACTTTCAAGCCCCGATTGCTGCCCTTCAGCAGGGCACAGCCTCCTCCTTCCCCACCACCCCTGAGAGAGATGCTGAAGCTTTGCCTCATCCTTTGGCCAAATATCAGCAGTCTTGGTGGAAAAGCTCATTCCCCCATCAAGACATGGGGTGTCCAGGCTATTTCGAGGGTTTTGTCTCTTCCTGTCATGTTGCAGAGACATTTGGTTGATGGGTGGCTTGTGCAGCAGCAGTGTGGCTGGGATCACTGCCTGAGCTTTGTGCTTTAGGTCTCAGAGCATCACTTGTCCTTTTTCTGAAAGCAGGTTTGGGGTTTTTTTCTTCTAAAAATAATAATTCACTTGGAATAACTTTGTATCTGCAAGGCCCCTCCCGCCCATGCAGCTTTTGATGCTGGGGAAAGGAGACACCAGCGATGCTCTCTGGGGCTAGAGCATCACTACCATGGGTGGGTTTAGCAGCTGTCTTCCCAGACAGCCCCAGCTATGTACCCTTTTGGGCAGAAGAGCACTACTTATTATTATTATTGCCAACAATATCACTTTTCCTCGCCTGTATCTTTTCTTCTTCGGTAATTTCAATGAAAGCTTCAAAAGCAGGAGCTGGTTTTCACTGCAGCATGTCCTCCCTCCCCTTCTCACATGCATCCCCCCTGCACATGATGCAGGGGAAACGTTCCTCTTTTCCTGGGGAAAAGGCTGAGCCGTGAAGCTGTTTGCTCAAGAAATGTGGATTGTGAGGCCTTTGGTCTCCTCCTCACAACAGGACCACCTTTGCTCCTGAGCTGAGCAAAGGGATGCTCTGTGCTGCCAAACCCTCACCTGTGCTGATGCTGTTACTGTGCCTCCTGTGTGCTGTGCCTTCCCCTCTCTGAAGGGCACAGGACAAATAATAAGCTGTTCCCTAGGGCTTGACTAGCTGTATGTGCTGGTAATGAAATCTCAGGTTATTTAAATACCTAGGGAAGAAAAGTCTAATTTACTTCATCTTCTCCAGGATTTTCCTGCTTGAGTTTCAGCCCTGGTAGCGAAGCTGGGGTCCAGTGAACCCAGGGGGTGTGGGATGCATGGAGCAGCACTGACGAGTCAGCTGCACCAAAGGGGCAATAAACTCAGGTTAAAATGGAGCAGCTGCTCCACTTGAGAGTGCTCATAGAAGGGGTTTTTTTTTTTTAGTGTATCTTGATTTGCCTCTAAAAATCAATTTTGAAATTATTTTATGGCAGCTTTTATGAATATTGTCTGTTCTACTGTTGTAAACCGAAGACAGGTGTGATTATATCTTTCTCCCCTCATCCCATCTTTCTTTCCATCTGGCAAATGATTCAGCTGTAAAAGGGCACCAGCCTGGCACAGCTGGAGGAAAATGGTTTTTTGCTTCGGCAGCCCACAGGTTTGGGGGCCCTACAAAAACTATGGTCATGTATTTAAATCTTGAAAGGGTAGAGCCCTCCCAGAGAAGACTCTTCTCTGGCTCACTGGTGAATTAACACCTATTTTCTTTCCTTTTGAAGCAGCTGCCTCCTCCTTCCTGACCTTCTCCCATGCAAATACCAAGAGGGAAAAATTCCCCAGGGCAGGACTGAGCCCTGCACAACTGTAGGGGCTGGTGGAAACGAAATGTCCTGGAGAAGAAAAAGCAGTTCCTGTTCTGTCTTGATTTTTTTTTTTCTTTCCCCACTTGCCGCCCTCCCCCCCCAAAAAAGGGAACTGAACCCATTGTTGGTAACCTGCAGCCCATCATCACTGGCCTCATCCCACCCTGTGCACCCAAGACACCAGGCACAGGTTTTGGTGACTAAATCTCATCTCTGCTTCTTGCAGCCGCTATCCTCCAAATCCTGGCCTCCCGGAGGGAACTGGATCTGGGAAGCAGCTCCGCAGGCTCATTTGAGGGGATTTGTTATAATTAAAACAAATATCTGGGGAATTTGTTGCTCAGCAGAGACTTCGAGTGGGAGGCACTGGGTCCTGCCCCCCCCACATTGAGTCTCTGGCGGGTGCTGGGAGCCCTGGGGGAAATAAATTTTTCTTTATTTTAATGTAATTAAAATTCCCTGCATGGCTAAGGCTGCTGTGTCATAGCTTCTCAGTTGAAATGCAGCTATTGCACAGGATAAATGGGGCATCTTCCTGCATAGGAATTGTCCCCCATTACAGTCCTCTCGCAGCATATCTCCATCAGGAGAGGGTTTATAAAGGAGAGAAATAAACAGCCTTGGCAGAGCTGGCACATCAGCCTGTGCTGTAGTGAGGGAGAGGGTTGGCAGTTAAATGCACGAACCTCCCTGTCTTCCACCGGGCCTTCTCTTGGTTAATTAAAAGAGCTTGGAGTTATCAGGCACATGAGGGAAATCAATGCTTCCCCCCCCCGCCTGGTAATAACCATGCAGCCTGAGCTGCGATCTTGCCTCTGAGAGCAATGCTGCGTCGTCCCCTGGGAGAGTTTGATTCAATTGAGCGACTTTTTTTTAATTTATTGATTTATTTAAATTTTTTTCCCTTTTGTTTTCCCAGGCTTCCAAGCCCAAGGTGAGCATCCCACTGTCGGCCATCATCGAGGTCCGCACCACCATGCCCTTGGAGATGCCCGACAAAGACAACACCTTTGTTCTGAAGGTGAGGGAGGGTGGCAACAGGGTGTATTCTGATGGGGACCCAGTCCAGCCCCCATCCAGCCCCTGCTATGGGGATGCTCAGTCCTCAAAGGATTGTTGCCTTGGTTTTCGGAGATGAGACACCAACAGTGCTAATGCTCCACGTGGGATCTCTGCCTCCCCTCCACAGGTTGTGCTCTCCCCCATGATGATACAACCTCCACCTGATGCTTGGGTATTTTGGGATCGAGCTGTTTACCTGGCATTCACCATGGGGTTTTGCTTCTCCACGTCACCTGAAGACAGGTTAAATTAGTGTCCAGAGACAACCTCCCAGGGGAAACGCTCTTGGGAGCAGCTGCCTGTGGCTTTGTGACTGCCACTGCCCCAGGTCGGTGGCACATGGTGGCCGTTTCATTGACAGGGTGATGGGAATGGCTGTGCAGGGCCATTGAGGCCCTGGGGAACAACCACCCAACGTGGGTCTAGGGGCTTGAGCAGAGTGAAAGTCTCTCTCTCTCCAGAAAGTGTTTTCCATGTAATGCAATTAATAACCTTAGTGCTCCTTCCTGCTCTGCTGAAAGGAGAGTGGCCTATCATAGCAGAGTGAGGCTGAATTTTGCAGGTCCTAGCTCAGGTACACCGTGCCACTGTGATGATGGATGTGCTGTTGGAGATGACATTTCTCTCCAGGTCATGAGGTTGTGCCTCCTTGCTTGTGCTACTAGACTTGTGCTCTCAATCAGAGCCATTGGACGTGCCTGGCGGGGAGTTAGCACATGTACATGGGGGAAGAGCAGCGTTTTGAGGATTTCTGTGTCCTACCTCTGCTAAAAAACCTCCTCTCTCCCTGATGCTTCTCCCTAAAAGTGTGTAGCAAAGGCAGAGCAGAGAGGCCATGCTTCCCAGCTGAATGAACCTGCTTAAAAGCTTAGAGAACTGTGAAAGCGGAGGAGACAAAAAATTGAGCCTGGCTTCATGAAAGCCCCTATGCCTGGGAGCTCACCTGGCCCTGGCACACGTTCCTGTGGGAAATCGCTCTCCACCAAACTTGTCTCCTTATAAAGGTCCCACACCTTCTTCTGGCAGCCTCTTCCAGGGCATCCTCCATACTCCAAGGGCTTCTTGCTCTTCAACCTCAACCTCTGCTGTGGTTGCTGTGCACCATGAACACGGAGGCTAATTTGGCTGTTGTCTTCTGTGCCTCAAAGACCAACCTCGTGTCATCTTCTCTCCAGATTGACCAGTCCAAGGTCCTCCCCACTTCCCTTGAGGGCTCTGGAACAAGAATGCCCTGAAGCTTATGCAGTGCCATGGCCCAGGAGCAGATGGGAAGGATTGCTTTTCCTTTGATGGCTTCTCCTTTTCTCTTCCTCTTAATCCAGCCCAAATTGATCCAGTTGCTTTCTTCGTACCCTAATGATGATGTTGACTCATGTGCAGCTTGTGGGCTGGTATAACCCCTCAGTGCTTTTTGCAGAACTGCTCCGAAGTTGCGGTTCCCCAGCCCAGACAGCCACAGCAATCAGTGTGAGCCCAGCGCTCACCGTGTCCTTGAGCTGGGGGCTGGCTTGGGCTGCTTCTTCCACAGAGCATTTCTCAGCTTTGACAAGTTCATTTGAATTCTTGTCTCATCCTCTAGCACACTTGCAACATGGTGTCACCTGTGAATTGATTAGGCATCTTCTCTTTGCTTTTGTCCTAATCATTACTGACAAGCAGCATGAACGGAGAGAGTCCTTGTTGCGAAGGAGCTTCTGAGCATATCCCTCAGCTTTGATCATTAGCCATCAGTGACCCATTAACTGCTTTTGGAATACGGCTGCTCAGCTACTTGTGATTGTGTTTCCTAGATCCCTTTACAAGTCTCATCTCAACTGTATCGTGCCACCCGCCTTGCTGGAGTGTCACGTCAATGTCCAATGCACGACCAACACCAAGGATGTGACACTGCTTCTCCCTGTCCCTGAGGCTGTCATGATCATGACCAGAGTTTGGTCGTGGCAGATCCCTACTTGGGGGCGGTTCAGGTCCGGGTGCCTCCTGAGTGCCTGTGGAGGATTGGTTTTCTCTGGCTACTGGAGGAAGGCTCTGGGCTTGCCCTCTTCCCATCTGCTGGAGCTAGACATGCTCTCTCCACTTGCACCACTAAAGACTCTGTGACTGCTTCAGACATTTCTTTAATTACTCCAGGGAATGCTCCAAACCCCACTGGTCTGAAAATGCATGACTGACCGGTACCCTGCAGCCTGCTTCTGCCCCGTTCTGCCGGGCGCTTACCCTGCCACAAGGTTCATTGATTGCCATTGATCCTTGGAGTGAGCCAAGGCAGTGAACAGCATTGAGCTCATCAGCTGCTGCCCCTCTCCTGCCGCTCCTGCCGGCCTTTGCCCTCCCCTCATGGCTGTCAACACAGGATGCTTTTCCCTATTCCCAACATCCTTTATTATTTGCCGCTCTTTTGCGTTCCCCCTTTGCTGGCTGGACTTGCGGAGTAGGTGAAGCACCCCTCAATGGATTAAATAGGGGGTAAGAAATATGGATTAAAGGGGTAAGAAATGGAGCTGGGTGCTGTGGTTTCCCTGCTACCTTCCCATGTACAGGGCTGATGTCGAGCCCCATCTCAACCTTTGCATACAACATGCCACGCTCTGGCAGGCTGCGATGGGTGGAAAAGCCCTGCCTTGTCTGGGGAGGTCATGCTGGAATCGTTTCTCCTACGTTGCCTAAAAATGAGCCCACAGCATGTCCCCACCGCCTGTCAGACACCAAGCACGTGCATTTTTTTTCCATTGCACAAGCAGGCGCTTGCAAAATACCCAAGCCCTGCACGTGCTTTGCTTGCTGTCATGCTCTACATGAGAGAGCAGCCCTGTTTCCCACTCCGGCTTCATACATTGCCCTCAGAAAGCCGGAGAGGCTCCTTTGCTCTGGTTAAACAAAACAGGGGTGGACAAATTTTGCTGCTTCCCCACCCTCCTCTGCTCAGGGCAGTATCGCCTATGCACGGCCCCGGGCTTCTCGGTTGCTGCTTGGCCCCACTCCAGGCACTGGGCACTGTTCCTTGTGCACCCTGCTTATTTTCAGGATAGCAAATCAGTTGTTTGTGATTAATTTAATTTGCTAGGAGGTTGTCTCAGCTGGCAATGCGATACCCTCCCGGAGTCAGGGCTGCTTCCCCAGCACGGGAAGACGATGTGTGAGGGGTCAGGGAGGGAAACTACCGGAGGCACACAGCATCGCATGGCTTCTGAGCCCCGCTGCTCTGTGCCGATGTGGGGCTTCTGGGTCCTCCTTTTGGACGCTCTTTTGCATTCTGATTTTATTTTTTTGTCCAGTTAAAGTCAGTTTCTTTCCAAGCCCATTGCAATTAGAAATCAGAAGCCTCATGGCAGAAAAGATAACAGGAGAGGTTTTAAACTCACGGGTTTGAGGGTCTGGTAGGACTTTGGGACAATGAAAGGGCAGCATGGCTCCTACCTGTGCAGAGCTGGTTTTTGGTGGACACTGAGGCACACCAGAGATGTGGGATGCTGTCTGTGGTAGTGCATGGTGCCATGTACCCCCAATGCTGTCGGTCAGGTGTGGTTTTGCAACAGATGCTGGAAAAAGCCTTGTGATGCATTTACTGGTAACAGTTGGGTAGGGGTTTTCCTCCGAGCCCCAGCTTTGGTCAGGGGTCACGCTCAGACATACCAAAGCATCCTTGTGGGTCGCCCCTTGGGATTCCTTTGCTGGGAGGGGGCACTTATTTCCCCCCTATTCAACCAAGATGCTATTTAACAGCAGCAGGTGAATGGGGGAGGTCTGGCTATGTTATAGGGTGTCCAGGGAGTGTGGTGGGACCCCAGCACAGCCTGATGCTGTCCCGCGTTGCCTGCAGGTGGAGAACGGGGCCGAGTACATCCTGGAGACCATCGACTCCCTGCAGAAGCACTCCTGGGTGGCGGACATCCAGGACTGCATCGACCCCGGGTGAGGCTCACTAACGGGTGCTGGGGTGGCTGGGCTCCCCACTTTCGTGGTGCCATCACCAATGACCACAGGGCATTACCCCAGTGCAATTTTGGCTGCTGAGGTTATTACAGAAAGTCCCCAACTCGCATCAGCAGAAGTCTGGAGGCAAAGTTGTGTGTCAGGGGTGCAGCCTCGCACAGCACTGCTTGCTTGCTCACGCTTTCCTGTTCTGCATCACCTTGGCTCGGCAGAGGCAGGTGACCTGGGAACACAGCCCTCAATGCAGGAAGCTCCTCACACCCGTCTTCAGAAGCCTTTTTACTGTATTAGTTCAGTTTTCCATGCTTTTTTCAGTCCAGCATCCATGGTGTACTTAAGATTCTGCTGGCTAAATTGATTTAGCCACAGTCCTGGCTAAATCCCTGGCACTGCCCTTCTTGGCACAATTTTGGAAAAATCAAGACACCCAGGCTTGCAGAGGTGAAAATCTTGAGCAAACCTGGAACAGGGGATTGAAGAGGCTCCAGCTGCCTTCGGGCAGCCTTTGCCATCTCCCACCAGAGAGATGCGGTTCAGGTGCTACAGGGTTGATCACTGCGGAGGCTGCATCTCACAGGGAGTATGCACTAATGCGCTCTGTGCTCCTGCAGCTCCTTTTTAAAATATGTAATTCAAGAAGCCATGCTGAGGCTGGGCTGCTGATGGAGCGTGGCCCTTTTTCTCCCTCTGCATGTTTTGGTGCTGGTTTTCCACCCGGTGCCAGGTCTGTGCTCACCTCAAGCTGCTGCAGAAACCACCGGCAGCCCCATGCCAGCCCCTCGCTCTGCCGCCAGCAGTGTCCCAGCCTTTTATGTTTGCTTAGCACCCAGCACAGCCCCACTCTGCCCTCCAGACGTGACTGTAAAGCAAATAATAATGAACTCCAGAGCAAATAATAATGAGCTGTTTAATACACTGACACGCACACTTGGTGCCAAGAATGAATTTTCAATCGGCTCCTGATGCTTTTGCCAAGGGCTGCGTGCTGGAGCCGCAGCACGAGCGCCTGTCGGCGGCTTTTCTGCAAAGCGCCGTTGGTTTTGGTTTCCTTCCTCCCTTCTTGTTTTTAACCGGCTGCAGCTGAATGACTCCCAGTGGCTGATTCACTTACTGGCCACTAAATAATTCAGCAGCTCCCTCATGAGCCGTTACTGCTAACGAAGCTGCTTCCTTGCTGCCTGCACCCATGCAGCTGCTGTTAAGCAAGAGCAGGCGAGTGCCATGGGCAGTGAAATAGGCTGTGTAATAAAATGTCTGTGTAATAGGCTAAAAATAGGCTGTGGAGCAAGCGGGCTTGTGTAAGAAGGGTGAAGTGCATGCACAGGGGTCTGGCAGCAGGGATGCTCCCCATGGGGGCTGCAATTTGTGCCTCTCCCCTTGCTCTGCTCCCATTTGCTGTCTCGCTCTGGGCCTCCTGGCTTGCTTTTTTTTGGGTGTCTTCTGGGGACATAATTCCTGTGAGTTGGCTGTTCCCTTTCAGAGGGTGAAAACAAAAGCACCCTTGGGTGGAAGTTGGTGGTGGGAGTATATGTGTGTGCCTACGTATGTCTTGCAAAGTGCGGCAATGAAAGTCAAAGTAACAGATTTCCACCCAAACCAACAAGGTAGCAGAAAAACGCTGCAGCTAGGCCCAGCCTGCATGACCCAGGTAGTAAGGGCTTCAAAGGGTTTAACCCCCCCCATGCTGGTTTCTCACCCCAAAAAGCCTTGTTGTTTTGCCAGCTGCCCTGCCTCACAATGCTTCGACTTCTGTCGCTCCAGGAGGAGGTGAGAAGCATTGGGATGTGCTCCCAGATCACAGCTGGAATTTTGTTTAGTTGAGTCCCCGTCACCATGCATGTGTCCCTGTGTCCTGTGACGGTCTGCTCTGTGCTCTCCCCCAGGGACAGCGGGGACGACATTGAGCTGGTGTCCTGCATGCAGGGAGCCTGTCTGCCGGGCAGGGTGTCCTGCAGCTGCGAGTTCCTGGCTGATGGTATGGACCTACATCTGGGAAAAACTCCCTGCAGGGAGGGTGGGCATCTCTGGGTGCCAGCTCTGGTTTGGGGAAGGGCAGATCTTGCCAGTGATAAAGTGAAGAAGCCTGAAGCAGGTGTCTGTGGGGATGGGTCATCCTCTGTCCATTGCCTTCCTCTTCCTTGTTCTTGCCCCCACGCCAGGGGTGTAGCCCCTGCTTGATGAGGGTGTCAGCACTGCTCCCACGCATCCTGATGGATGCAGAAAATCAAGCCACTGTCTGCAGGCACTGGGGTCTTCAGGTCCCAGCAAGCAACTTCCCCCTGCACAGCCCCATCTTGTCTCCATGCCTGACCAATGCATCCATGCCCCCTGTCCTGGTTGCATCAGGGGAAGGAAACCCAGTGTGGGTTGAAATGGAGCCCCCAAGCCACAGTCAGAGCCATCACCTAGCCCTGAGATGTCTCCAAGAGCCTAGGGTGCTCCAGCACAATGGCCTTGGGAGCAAGACAGCCCCCAGCCTTGTCCTGTGACAGTGGGCAATGCTGAGCCATGAGCCCATCCCTCTGCAAATTCCCTTCCAGATGTGCCCAGGCCACTGGACAGATGTCCCCTGCCCGGCGCTCACAACACCACCACCGCCGTCCCCACGCCCCATGGCCGGGGCAGGGACTGCGTGGGGGAGCTCCTCACCCATGTCCCACTGGAGAGCTTCCTGCAGACGCTGGAGTCCTCCCCCACCACCAGCGGCCGTCTTGCAGGTACCAGGGTGCAGGATGCGGCCCCAGCACCTCACTCTTGGGGGTGCAAAGGAGGGGAGGAAGTGTTGGGAGAGGGTGATGTGTGGGTACTCACTAAAATCCTGCTGTCCCTGTGGCCAGGGGACGACAGTGAGGTGGAGGCGGAGATCAACCTCTCTGATTTCCCCTGGTTCCACGGGACGCTCTCGCGGATCAAGGCGGCTCAGCTGGTGCTCTTCGGGGGTGCCCGCAGCCATGGCTTGTTCGTAATCCGGCAGAGCGAAACACGGCCAGGGGAGTACGTGCTGACCTTCAACTTCCAGGGGAAAGCAAAGGTGGGTGTCCTCTGTTTCTCCCCCAGATATTAGAGCCAGCCCTGCCCAGCACCCCAAGCTCCTTCCTGCCCTGCTGAGGCTCTGTGAGGGGTGCCATGTGGTGACCCCAAACACGGCAGCTGCCACCTGGCAGGGCATCCCTCGGGACCCACAAGAGCCCTCTGCACCCTGCCCAGCCCCACCAGCACTTTCCCAGCTGGATCAATGCCTGCCATACAGGTGTAAGGTTAAATATCCCATGGGAGCATAGCCTGGCACATTAACTCCTGCCCTCTTCTTGTCCTGAAGTACACAGATGCAACCCACATGTAGTTTTCTGTTGGGTCCCTTTTCTACCAGAGGACACACGCTGTGAGGGGTGGAGATAAAACTGCCTGGCCTTGTCACCTGTCCTGCAAGAAGTAGTTCAGGTGGGCTGTGGGCTTCCCTAGGCTGGCTGTGTCACCAGGGTTGGAGCTGTAGTCCCCCCTGGCAGCACCCTGCCACTCTTTTCTGGCTGCTTCTGTAGTGGTCATCACTGGAAGGGGATAAACTTCTGGGGCTGCAGTGAGTGGGGTTTTGCAGGAAACACCTTGCAGCAGGAGACTGTCCTGGCCAGGCAGAGGAAGAAAATAACAGCTCTATGTTACGAGCAAACCTCCCTTGCGTGATGGAGATGGCTCCTGCTGATTGCACAGGTGAACCCCACCCTTGCGATCCCCAGCTCACCCGCTGTCCCTCTGCACTTGCAGCACCTCCGCCTGTCACTGAACGAGAGCGGGCAATGCCACGTGCAGCACCTCTGGTTCCAGACCATCTTCGACATGCTGCGCCACTTCCACACGCACCCCATCCCCCTCGAGTCGGGTGGCGCGGCTGACATCACCCTCCGCAGCTATGTGGTGGCCCAGAGCCCGCTGCCTGGTAGGTGCCAGGGCCGGCCAGGGGCATGGCTGCAGGCGGAGGGGTTGGATTAGTGGCTGGGCTGGTGGGATCTTGTGTGGACCTAAAGGGGACCATGGGGTTCCCCACTGACGTCCTCCCTAAAGCTAAGCCTGTGCTGGTGTGTGTGGCTATGGAGATGCACCAAGGTGGGTGCCATTGGAGGGGGGCAGGGAGAGCCATGCAGCAGCAGGGCTGTGCTGGGGTGACCTGTGTGTCCCTGATTGTGGGTATCAGTCCCCTGACTCTGGCAGGAGAGGAGCAGAGAGGTGCTGCTGTGCTGGGAGAGAGTGGGCAAGGAGGGTTGGGGAAGGACAGGGTCAAGGATGGGGAGGTCAAGCAAGGGAGAGAGTGGAGGCAATGGAGTGGTCAAGCTCCTGTCTCCCTTGCAGATGCCACCCCCCCGCCAACACTCGGGTCACAGCCGCTGGGCCGCCGGATCG